GCGTATGTAGTAGGGGTATAGGAGTCAAAGGAAAGGGAAGTAGAGTAGCTAGTGAGGGAAATTCTTGCAGCCTGACTATACCCAATAAAAGGGCCAGGAGTTTAACCCACTCATGCAAACCATTGCATGCAACTCTAAATTTACATACTCTCTACACTCATGGATGCACTGTAAATAATTGTTTAGTAGGAGGCGCTGTTCCCAAACATGACTGGAGGACAGGGCCAAGAGAGGGGGTAGTTAATTTTTTAACTGCATACAACTTAGAAAACAGGCTTAATTGCATATGATTTGTGTTAGGCTAATCATCTGGCATGAATGATGGTCCTACCATATAAGGATGTCAGCTGTTAATGAGGGGGTTACATGAAATAAAAGTTTGGTCTATTGACAATTTTGGTTCTCTTATTGGTCATTATGTTTTTTTGTCTTGCCTTTCTTGTGTAGCTTACCTTAGGTCTTAGTAGTAGCAGTTATACACTTCAATTTAATGTTTTTAAAGTAATTTAAGTAGTGTTTTAGTTTCCATTGTGTGACAAAGGCTTTCTTGATATAAAACTCATATTGGATTCAATAAACCGTAAAATCTTACAGACACTTACTCGCTGACATTTCCATGAGAAGCAGATAGGAAAGAAGTTCATTTAAATTAAAAAATGTAATGTGCAGAAACAAAAGTTTCTCATTCAACTTTCTCATCCTTAATACAATCAACATGAATAACTTGTGTTTTGTAGGATGCACAATTGAAAAAAAATCATGGGTAGATATTGAGAATAAACCTATGAAGGTAATTTCTCAAACATTCTCACAGATATAGCTGTTGTAGGTGCTTTTTTGGGTAGCGACTGTTTAAGTTGCAGAGGACAATGCAATTGATGTACACAGTATGTGTTGGATGTGTAGATTGTAAACAGATCACGATTTTACCAGTCTTCCTATGCATTACTGGGAAGGTTTGTAGGTGAGAAATGCGTCCCTCTTCTAATTTACCTAGTTGTTACCATTAACAAGCAGTGGGGACACAAGCTAAGTTTGAGCGATTTCCCTTGTGTTTAGCCGTATTATTCTGATTGAATGGTGATGTAAGGGGTAAATTCTTATTTTCCTATCACTTGACATCAAAACTATTCCTTGCTCCTGTGCCCCATCTGGAGTTTCCTTTCTGGGCAAGAAACCAGTAATGCCCCTGGTATATGTTTGTTCCTCCAGAAAGAAACCTATGTATTAGCTCCAGCCTGAAGGTTAACTGGATTTTCTGAAGGTCTTAGTTACTATTGCTGGAGAAGGGTGACCAACTGTTCTCCCTCTCCCTATCACTCTCTTTGCTATAGGAGAAGTCTACCAAAGAGAGATGAGAAGTTCAAAGGGAAAAAAAAAAGATGCCAAGATAGCTACGTAGAAGCAAACCCAACCAAACCACACGAACGCAAGCACGACGCACGCACGCACGCACGCACACGATGGCGCGCAACACACACCACACACACACATCACACACACACAACACACACACAACACACACACAACACACACAAAAACACACACACACACACACACACACACAGAGAAGAGAAAAGCGGAAGAGAGAGAGAGAGGGGGGGGGGGGGATAGCGTGTAAACCATCTTTGATGCAAAAAGAATGCAAGACTCTGACAAAAAGCAGATGAGAGAAATGTGAAGGAAAGTGCCCAATATAATCACAATAATAATCACAAGAATAAAAAGTAAGAATAAGAATAATAATAAGAATAAGAAGAATAAGAATAAGATAATATAATAAGAAGTAATAATACAGAATAATAAACAATAAATAATAATCATAACAGAATCAAAGATCAGAATGCATAATACTAACAAACAACAAATAACAAAAACAACAACAACAACAAAACAACAACTAAACAACAACAGCAACAGCAACAGAACAGAACAGCAACAGCCAGCAACAGCAACAGCAACAGGCAACAGCACAAGCACAGCAACAACAACGCAAACAGCAACAACACACAAAACAACAACAAACAGAAACAGCACAAGCAACAAAAACAACAACAATAATAATTAATAGTAATAGGAATAGTAATGATAATAATAATGCTATGCTGTTACTACTATACTAATATTAATGTTTATTATTATCATTATATCATTACTCCTACATCTACTCTTAGCTACTCTTACTGCATAATCTTACGCTACTACTACTCTTGCTACGACTACTCTTGCTTACTACTACTTTGCTACTACTCTTCTAACTACCTCTTGCTACTTACTCTTACTACTACTCTTACTACTACTCTTCCTACACTAGTACTACACTATTACTACTACGATTAATACTTCCTATTATACTATTTTTATACTACTACTACTACTACTACTACTATACTATAATGCTGCTACTATTACTTTATTACTATTACTATACTACTATCTTACTATACTACTACTATACTACTACTACTACTTACTACTATCTACTACTACTATTATTACTACTACTACTACTACTACTACGTACTACTACTCTTACACAAGAATAATGATATTACTATTTACATCTCATCATTCATCATCATATAATGTAACATTCCATATAGCCGTTTATTTGTTAAAAGTTAGTGCTGATTAATTTTTAGTTGTTAATAAGGTTATAAGGTAGCCAATAATCCGTTTTGACCCCATACTTTGTTGAACATAAGACAAAAGGGATGTAAGATGTCCATAAATTTATATTTGGAGGGTCACTCAGTCACTCAGTCACTCGTCACTTGTCATGTGGATATATATCTTTCCAGAGATTAGTCGTGTTACTAGTTCCTCAGTGGAGGAATCCTCAGCCATACCAGAACCTACTGAAGGTGGTGTGTCGTTGGCATCCCATGAACCATCATTCGTCAATCTTGAAGACTCTCTTTGATGATTCAACATTTACGATGTGACTCTGACAGCTGAAGGAAATTTGATCAGGGCACATAATGGTACTAGTGCTTGGTGGGGCTTTTTGTTATAGGAAATGGTGTGATGTTGGAGGGTATTGTGTTTAAAATAGTTATTGAATCCATGTGTACTGTATTTCGGAACAGCAAGATCAAACAATAGAGGGGGAGGGACAAAGGGAAAGGGTGCGGCAGGAGGAAAAGAAGAAAAAGAGAGTGGCAGGGACAGGGCACACACCACACGCACGCGCACGCGCAAGCCGCAGCCGCACGGCAGCCGCAGCCGCAGACGCACGCGCAGCCCGCACGCACAAACACGCACAAACACACACACACACATACATACATACACATACACATACACATACACATACACATACACATACACATACACATACACATACACATACACATACACATACACATACACATACACATACACATACACATACACATACACATACACACACACACACACACACACACACACACACACACACACACACACACACACACACACACACACATACACATACACATACACATACACATACACATACACATACACATACACACTGTAGACACTCATGCACATATATGTCCATAAGTGTTAATGCTTTATTTTTTTGAAGGCAGTGCTGTCAGCCATGAGTCCATACTTCCGAGAGGTCTTGCAATCCAATCCATGCCAACATCCTGTCATCATCATGCCTCTTGATGTACAGTATGAGAATCTTCAGAGGATTATAAGTTACATTTATAAGTAAGTTAAAACGTTGTAGGGTAACTGGCCACAGTAGGGTCATTTATGTCTTGGAAAAATGTATGTCTATGAATTTATACACACGTGAAGTAATGTAACCCAGTGTTAATTTTTCTTACAGTGGTCAAATCACATTACCGTCTGAGAAACTGGCATCTCTCCTAAAGACAGCAAAGGCATTACAGATATCCGGATTAGCCAGTGTGGATATTATAGACGTGAGAAATGAAGATGACACAACTCCATTCCTCAGGACCGTGAAAATACAGTCAGAAATGGAACATCCAAATAAATCTGGCGTCAGTAGCAGATCCGGCTTGGCCATTAGCAAGAGGAAAAAGGCTGGGCTTACTTCTACAGTAGCAGCACCATTCATTGTATCCAAGGAATCATTGGATAAAAGAGCAAGAAATGAAGATTTTTTAAAGAAGAGGCCTACCGATACTTTTTCTGTGAGGGAAATCACAATGCCGACTCAAATTCAAAACAGATCCTCGCAATTGAGCGATAGTGACAACTCAGTTTTTCAAGTCATTCCAAGCAGTAACACGATTTCAGAGAAGAATGTGTGTGAAAAACAGAAAGAGGTGAGTTGAGCTTTGAATAGCTTTACATCTAGATAATTACTAACACATTTAGGTTCCGTAACGTAAGTTTTTTTAAGGTGCACTGATAGATGTCTTAATTTTAATTTTCTTTATTTTGATCTATACATTTTTTTCTCTTCTTTTCTTTAATCAAGGTTTGAAATTGAATCGGGCAAGAATAAGAGGATAAAAGTGTGAATAAGCTATTCCCAAGAAATAAAAAAAAAAGATAATAATGGTCCTCCATAAGTAACTTTAGCCACTAACTATCACATATATGTTAGGTCGTTTGGTCTGTTTAGGTGACAGAAATTCCATAAAGTCAAACAAAAAGTATATCTTGTAGACTTTTTTGTTCTTATTGTGTGTATTAGTATTCTGTATTTATTGGAATCAAATTATTGGGAAATCCCCCCAAACTAGAAAGAGAAGAAAAAAGAAACAAAAAAAAAAAACTCACAAATGTGCTGGAGGTAACACAGTGAATTTAAGTTTATAACCCATTTAGAACACTGAGATTTGACAACACACAAACATTTTCTTTATGCAAATTCAGACCCATTTTGCTCAGGCTAAATGTTAAGTTAGTCCTTCCGCCCAACCCGGAGGAAAAATAAAACCACTATATATAAAACTTCCTCATCAGTTTCTTAGCATTTTATTGAAGTTTTCTGAACAAAAAGTGATGGAAAGACTTTTGTGTCATACTTTCCATTTTATTGTCATCATGTTTGTTCTTTGCAATGTTTAAGTATTGTTGTAGGAGGAAAATTTGCTTGATGTTACTTCTCTATTGACAATCAAATGCTTATAACAGTATTATATTTTGTATAATAATTTTCTACCCACTTTACCTTTTTTCTGGGAGAAGTAACCTTTGATTATTAGAGGGTTAGGATGAAATGCAAATTATTGAGATTTGCAAAAGTTAATAATTCTTTAAACCAGGTGAACACTGTGAATATGTTCATTTCTAAATTGTTAGACCCAAGATGGACAAAAAAAAAAAAAAAAAAAAAGTTTATCTTCTTTTCTTCTTCACTGTATTGCATTTATGGTAATTCCTTTGCACTGTTTTGCAATTTCTTCCCATTTCAGGAACTGGAGGAACTACAGGAGTTGCACAACTCAGAGGACAACAGCCTTCTGCAAGCTGAGAGACATTGTGCACAACAAAATGGGTCTAATTTAACAGAGACAATATATGTAAAAGAAGAACCTCTTTTCTAAGGTTATGAAATATTTTATTTATATTTTTTATGTAAATAATATGTTGATATAGTGTATTTTTCTATTATATGAAATATGTTGGCACTGTTTAGCACATAGATTTACAGTTTTATGTCTTTCAATATGCCACAGAGTCTTCATTCCATGTATATTTCCTGTACTATAAAATCACATTTGTTACAAATGTATTATTACCCATTGCAGTGGATAATCAAACTCCGTAGGGTTAGAGATGTTAGTTTGGTAGCGTGTTACCCAACTACAGGTAATCTCCAATTGGTTTGGCTTATTTTGGTGATGACTCTCAAGTGATTTGAAAGTGATCCCATAATCACAGTAAAAAGAACAATAAAATAACATCACTGCCTGACTAAAAGGCAACACGGAAAGAGTATCCACATTATACATTTATTTCCCATAAGACTTGTTGAACAACAACCAAATACATGACAAACACCATACACCTTACTTGGCACAACAGAGGCAACCCACCACAGCACGAGAAGCACCAGTCAGCCAGCTAAAAATCCAACGGTCTGTCACCACACAAGATAAAGCCTCTCTCCCTGTGACCGACCTGGCTTGACCTTTTATACTGGTGGCTTCCCGTGCTTGGTGACATTTTACCTATAATGCACTTGATTTACTTTATTGAATAGTGTATGGTGAGTTAAAAACAAACATTAAAATACTTAAAATAAAAAGAATAATAAAACTATACAAAAAATGGGCACATTAGAGAAATACATGACGGAAGTATGAAAACGTAAAAGAAGGGATCTGTGAGAGAAAACGGGAAAACACGAAGAGAGAAACAAAGCTAAGCTGGATTAGTCAAAGGCAAAAAAGCAAGAATAAGACAAGGTAAGCATGGATCATAAGGTAAGTAGTGTAAAAATAGTGTTACGTACTATAGAAATATTGTAGATGTAGATGTACATCACAGACCAATGAGAAAGGAAAGTCAAAGAGTATAAAACACAGGGTTATTCTTATATAAAAAAAACAGCAAATAAAACATAGGAAAACAGGAAAACTGCGTTATCTTGCAGGCAGAGGAGTCCGTAGATTTTCTATAGAGATCCATAACCGTCAGGGGAACAGGCGGCCCTGAAGCCTGAGGGAGGACCTGCATGCCAGGGGAAATTCACTACACCAATAACTTTGAGGAAAAACAGATGCAAAAGAATATTTAAAGATTGGGGAATACAAATGAGAAAACAAGGAAACCTCAGTATATGTATATAAAAATGCATGCATTTTAGTGTATTGTATATATATATAATATATATATATATATATAATATATATATATATATATATATATATAATATATATATATATATATATATATATATAATATATATATATATAATATATATATATATATATATATAATATATATATATATATATATAATATATATATATATATATATATATATATAATATATATATATTTCATATATATTTTATGTATTATATATAGTTATTGGATCTCCAATATCTTGACTCAAAATGTTAGTGGAGGCCTCTTCTGATATCGTAATTACATTATGATGAAAATCTATCAATAAAGCTTACAATACTGTTTATCACTATAGTTGATTAACAATCCGAAATATCTGGTAGTTGTTTTCATCACTGAGAGCAACATGGCTTATATTATATTTTTTCCAAGAATTTGGATAAAAATATCAAATATATTAAGCCTTACATTTTTTGTTTTTTCATTATGCAGTTCTTATTTGGGGTCAGTGGTGTTCTTTTATTATTCGCGATTTGAGGTTGGTTTGCCGCGGTGTGAAATGTGCATGTTTTGGTTTTTGCAACGGCAGGATGGTTGTGTTTTGGGTTCTGTGTGTGGCTACTTAGGTTGTGGGTTGGGTTGTGGGTGGGAGGGTGATCGCAAATTATCCAACATCTACCAGATCATCTCTGCTTGTATTAAAAGGTGGAGTTAAAACCTTCAAACACTTTTTAATCGATAAACAGACGAAATAGATAACAGGAACGAAGTGATTCTTCATAGATGGCAGATTCCATTTAAAAAATTATCTCTTTCCCTGTATCTATCTTCAGCTGTCTATCAGTTTATATGTTTATGTTTGTCATTCTCTCCCTTTCTGCCTTACTCACAAACGCTCTCTCTCTCATATATATATATATATATATATATAGTGTGGTGTGTGTGTGAGAGAGAGAGAGAGAGAGAGAGAGGTATACAGCCTCTCTTATGTTCTTGCAGTATTCACTCCAATGTTTAATACTTTTAGATTACAATAGTGAACATAAAAATGAATTAGCATGGCCCCGTGGAAGGTTTTGATAATAGTGAGCTTCGTGCTCATACGTTACAGAACTGGCAGATTCTGAGTTCCCCTGGGGTAATACGGGAACGAATGTAGCGTGGCGAGACAGTGGTAGGTTGGGTGGTAGCGAGCGGTAATACCTCGCCAGCTCGTTCATAAAACCCGTAGTCCACAGTATTTAGTAACTTGAAGATGAAATGAAAGCCTGCCATAAAGTGAAGGGAAAATGGAAATAAAAACAAAGCCAAACAGTAAAACACGTAACTAAAATCATGTGAAACATCACCGAGGATATAAAAGGTAAATGAAATTACTAAGAATACGAATTAAAACTCTAAGTAGCCGGCTAAAACTGTGTGGACAACTAATTAGTAGCGGAGACACTTGCAAAATATGCATTTGATTTGTGAAGCGTTTAAGAACGGGCATACAGCATAAACTAGATATATGGATAAGAATGAGCAGCCAACTACTTATCTTCTAAGTATAAATCTGTGACATTGTGGTATGTTACTGTACAGTTCCTTAGGAGGAGAAAGAAAAACCTCGGTGTCTCGGAGCAGACTGATTTATTTTCCTTGCTTTGTACACACAGCATGTACGAAAAAGCTGTCGCGATTGTTTCGCGAAACGCAAATAAGTACTGCCACTTGTTTCGCGTGGTACTCCGCTGATCGCATCTATAATACAAGTAAAATACCTGGCTCGTATACTTAAAAGCAAGTAAAAGAGTTTCATCAAACATACTACGAATAATAAAAGAATAAAACTGGGCCTGAAACACTACCACCTGACATTATTTAATTTGTTTTGTTTGTGTATAGGGATAAAGAGCCCAGGTCAGATAAACAGGTAAGCAAGGTCATTAAAGCGGCAGACTATTGGGTATGCATATCGTTCCGTTTTAAGTGCAGCAATGTTGCATGGGGACGATTTCCTCAGCATACATATATATATATAGTTGGGCCAAATTTGAGTAGATTGCACAGGAGAAAAGGGAAGAAAACACATTAACTGCAGCAGATCTGCGTCTTGCAGTGCCCCCTCCAAAAGCAGAACCATCTGCATGGCACTGTGGTCTCTTTGATAAGAAAGACTTGGCGTTCGCCGTCGAGGCAGTTGCCGTTGGGACAAGCCACCATTGGCCTTCTTCCCAGCAGTTTTCAGCGCTAACCTACGTGGGAAGAGATAAAAGAAAGACATTAATTACTACGTAAAAGTAGAAGATGGTCTGATTTTAATCACATAAAACTATTTGGTATCATTATCATGGAAGCTGGCAGTGGAGGGACGTGCCGATATCAAAGAGAAATGGAAAAGAAGAAAACAAAGAGGGAGAAAGATCAGGGGCCGGATACTCGAAACAGTTTACAATGTTTACATCACGAGTGAATATCTGGAAATACCACTCGGGAAGACAGTCGCTTAGGCTTTCATGGTGTTGGTGACCGTTAGAAACGAGGCACTAACAGCCATGGCTTTCCATTAGTTGTTACGTCTAAAGTGCTGACTGCTGATTGGTCAATCGACTAACGATCTGCCCTCTCTTGGTAATCAATGCAATTTACTTTTTTGAGTGTGGGGTTTACAATATAGTAAGGACATCGGAAGGTACGATATGGTAAGGGCGGCATCAACGTTCTCGACTTTGTAACGGACGGTAGATTTGAGTATCCATTTGATTTTATTAATCTTATTATAGCGATATTGCATATGCCATGCAAAGAAGGTAAATATTATGACACAGACCTTCAGGCATGACACAGACCTTCAGGCATGGTCTTTTCTTTCATTTTCTTTTTCTTCATCCCTTCTGTCCATTATTCTAATAGTTGACTCATTCTTGCTTTTTTTTTCGTTACAGTACTCTGTCATAACGCTGTGTTTATTTTGACCATTAACCATTCTGGAAATCCACAAACAATCGCCTTGTGAACAAAAAAAAATCCTTACCTGGAGGCTTCGCCCCCAAGCCCCTCCCCCCCATAAAAAAATAATCAATCTTTCTCACCAGCAAGTGATGGCGCCTCCATCTCTCTTCTCTTGCTGGTTGATTGAGGACGCCTCGACAGGAGCAAGAACAAAGCAGCACACTACGAACACAGCACATATCTTCATTCTACAAGGAAGAATACAAAAGAATTAAATAGGGCTCTCAGGACCTTTATAGGTCCCAAGGTTTTTGCCGTGGGTTCTCTTCTAGAGATAATTTGACACCCTACGGCAAAGCACGACCATTGCCTTGTGTGCATAACTTTGGGTGTTATCACCTACTTTGAGGCTAGTGTTTTAGTTGTAGGCCAGAGCGTTTACAATTAAAACACGAAGCACTGTGGCAATTGGCGGTTTTTACTGTGAAGTGCCAACCGAGCATATAAGGGTTGACGTCCGTTCGGCAGGGTTTCAAACCCGACTGGCCCAACAACAACGACTGCCAATTGCTCAGTCTCATTTTTTATTACCACTTACACCTCGTGATCTGTCAATTAGCGACTGCTGCTTCTCTTTCCTCACCCATCACCATCACCTTACGCTATGGAACAGGAGACGTGGCCAAATTATCATATTCTTGGGAGCCCAACTCCTGTGAGGTGGCTCTCCAGAAAATATCGCTGTAACCCACTGCTTCAAAGTTCACAACGATTACAAGGTTGTGCCAAGGCCTGGAATAACTGACCCCCTTCCTCTGCTCATCTGGCCAAAGACAAAAGCTAAATGCTCGGTTGTGGCGAAAAAGATCGACAAAACAATCCTGCCACGATCGTGTGAGTCTATTCAGGCGGAAGTTTCGGCCAAAAATGACGCCACTGTGATGGACG